CCCTCCTTCCCCCCCCCCCCCACCCCCCGCCCCCCCCGCCCGCCTCCCCCCCCCCCCCCCCCCCCCCCCCCCCCCGCCGTCCTACCTGGCAGGAACGCCATCGTAGGGAGTTGTTGGCCGATAGTGAAGGGGAACACGGGAGTGGTGGTTGGCGCAATTCGTCGGCAAGTGCCAACAGCTCGGCCGGTGGGGCTCGGGGGGTACCTAAACGGAGACGCTAGCTGGCTGGGCAGACGGTACCCGGAGCTGGGACCGAAGGAGGTTTGGTTGTTCTACAACTTTCTTTATCTCTCGTAAGTGTTTGTAGACTTTGGCACGATCGTGCGGTGTCCTTCGAGTGCACTTACATCTTGGCGGCTTGGATTACGCTCTTATTCGGGCCTACCGTAGATGGCAAATTATTGGCGTACAGAAAAATAATATTTTGTGCGACCGAGGCACAACTGCAATGAATGGAGCCATGCAATTTTACCTGTGAGACTGTTTCAGTGAACAAAGATGACGTGCGACACAGCAGCGGGTGCGTCTTGTGATGTCGAAGTCGCCTGCTGCTTAGCTGTCCATTCGTTCGTTGCGTTTCTATCGACAGTACGAAATGGGACGGTGCGCGTTGGATTGGTCGTCACCAGATTCTGTAGGTCTTACAAAATAATTCCCTCCACTTAAAAAAGGGTGGGAGTGATATCACGCGGATGTTGTCACCGCCCGTTCGGAAGAACCAAACTCTGAGCGAGAAGGAGGGAAACGGCATTTTGTCCCTGAGGTGTGTACGCGCGGATGTGATTTGATTTCACAGTCGACACAGTTCTGTGAAGGGCATCATGCGTATTCGGTGGGCTGGAGTTGTTGCTGTTTGCGAGAACTGCACATAGGTTTTCGATAAGTAAATATTGAAACTCTTGCGAAGGCTGCGATCGGTCTCGTCTAAGACTCGTGTCATGGAGTGAGTCATGAGCAATGACGGCTAACTGCGAAATGCAAGATTTGCATGACTCCACAGAACATGTAAGGAGTTCTTCAATCTCAACCAAAGATCGAGTCTAGAAGAGGAAGATATGGCTCTCTGCGTCTCACGATCACTCGTCGGCAAAATGGTTCTTACCGCAATGTGCGCAAGATAGAAGTATCACGATGATGCACCTTCACTTCAAATCACGAGCCAGCACCCGCTACTATGCCACCGGTGGCGGTGCACTGTGTCATGGGCCGGACATGACCAGGTCTGATGTTCAAGCCAAATTCTGGTCACTAGGCATCATTCATTCACATTCAAACTCGAAACAAACCGGGTTACCCGCTGGTAGAGACAGAATTCATGCCCGTGTCTGCTACGTAGTCCTACCTTGCGCGCAATTATTGGCCCAACGGTGTTAAGCACGTACCGATACAGAAACCTCAAATCTGACAGCAAACGCCGCTGAGTGGCTTAAGCGAGGGCGGCTCTAATAACTACACCTGCTGCATGATTGACACCCGATGAATTCTGCCATGCATTCTGCCATGCTTGGGGCGATTTTTTACTGGGAGCGTCTGCAAAAAAAGAAAAAAAGAAAAGAAGAAAGTTCCAGGCCTTGCCTCTCTTCGCGGCTCTCTCTCCGTGAAGCTGATGATATCTCGACAACCACGACGTCGATTCACATGCGGATTTCTGCAGTAGATGGCCAGAACGCAGGAGAACAACTTTCGAGCTGCCTTCACCTTGGATAACTGTCCCTTTGTCCCCTATCGATGCTGTATTTGTGGCAATGCGCAAACAATTCAGCACCTACAGCAGCAGCATCAAGAATCATCTGCCGTCATGTAGATCTATCTATGCATATCAGCAAGTACACCGCCCCTCGCAAAAGCAAGGAAGGTCAGCAGTAGTCAAGGGCAGCAGCAACAGCGGTGATTGTAGCAGCAAGTATGTAGGGTGAGGCGGTGCTGCCATGAGATCGATGAGACCCGCGCTTGCTGTGTCGTGTAAAGATGCGATGTCGTCGCCGCCCGAGCATACTTCCCAACGGCGTAGAAAAGCGTCTGGCTCTCGCTTTCACCCTGCGCAGTCATGCCGCACCACGCCACCAAAACAACAACAGCAGGAAGAATAGTAGAATACGAGTCGTGCTGTAGTCTACAGATGTGCAATGCGATGAAGATCCCTGCCGTCCTGCTGCTGTACATGTCCGCGAAATCCCAACGAACGGCCAAGAAAGCGCATCTCTTCTATCTGCGCAGCAGTCAATCCAGCCATATCAACAAGAACCACCTCCAACAGCAGGGGTGTATGCATGAGTGATGCACAGTGCTACTGAACCAGTATGGTAGCCTCTCTTGTTGCTGTGCGTTGGTAAGCGTCTGGTAATTAATTGATGAACAACGGCTTCGGCCAGAGTCCCAATTCTTCGCCAGTCCAAAATGAGAGAACAACCACGACGTTAGCGAGGTGGTTGCTGGCTGGTGAAAGCCGTCGGGCGATGCAGACGACAGGACGACAGAAGACAGGCTGTAGACAGGGAACGAGTCGACGATCGGCGGTGCTGATGTACGGCACTACTGCTGTACATATGCTACGGCACAACGGCATTAAGGAATAATATAAACACACACAGAAAGACTACCCATTCGAGATATACCCACAGTCGAACGGGATGTGGTGGAGTCTTTTCAGTGAGTGGAGGGAAACCGGCTGGGTACTGGACTTTATTTCGAGTCTTTTTAAGTCTATACACTGATGATTTATTCCAGTGATGCCAGCTGGTGCTAAGTACAAAAACATCGGGTGAAAACATCTGTCTGTATAGGTAACTTACATTTTACAATACATCCCCTGTAGTTCTCTACTGGATCAACGACAAAATATCGGGGAGAAACCCTCCGTTGTGTCGTGTATTGTAAAATGTAACCTTCACAGGGGACACGGCGCAGTGAGTGTCTATTGACAGCTTGCTGGATTATTAGACATATTAGGAATAATATTGTAAAATTCATGGAAGGTGGGACAAAACCTACAGCAGTACATCACCAGCCCTACATCACTCGTTTTTTGAATCTACAGGTTTTTGAATTTCACGGACAGTAGGTGTTTCCCGCCGTTTTTTTTTTTTTTTAATTTACAAATCGTTTTTGATCCTTTGGGGTAACGGGTAACGGCATGATGCACCAATTGCCGAACCAACACCAAACGGCCTTTGAACCGGTTCTCTTCGAACCGGCAGCTTTGGCCAACGTACACGCGTGCTGGATCGCTGGATCGTGTCGATTTGATTTGTGTGCATACAGGAGTACACAAGTACAGCAGTAGCACCGACGAGCGTGACGTACATAGCGACATCGACGACAGCATAACCGCACTGTTGTGTGTCATTCTCTCTCTCTCTCTCTCTCTCTCTCTGTCTCTCTCTCTCTCTCTCTCTCTGTCTCTCTCTCTCTCTCTACAACTAGTCTACGCCGTTCGGCACAACCCATCAGCTCATCAATGTCCATTCGGGGCAACGTCACCAACCCCCCAACTTGACAGTTGACCACATCAATCACACCGCACTCTCATCCGAACGCGTCCTCGGGATCTCCGTCATCCGTGCGTGACTCCACTACACACCTGCCTATTGGACATAATCTACACCACCCGTGTTGCATCATCACCAACAACGATTTCTGGGGGCCACCATTTCGGTGAGTGAGGCTCGCGACGGACTGTTGGAGAGAGAATTATGGCGAGGAAGATGCCACACCACGCGCACACACACGCCTCATCCTTTGCGCATCCATAACGCGTAAGAGACCAAGATTATTTCAAGCTGAATAGGAGGTGTTTCGTAGGCTCGGGCCGTTCATGTGGGCGTGCGTACAACAGCGCAAACCTCATCCTATTTTCATTCTCGGTAGCGGCAAGTAGCAACGATATTCAAGCGAAAAGATGATGACGCCTTCATCTGGACGCCTACATTGCTGTTGCCATATGAAAACCTTCCAACTTTAACATGTTACTCGGCTCTACGCTAGCTGCAGCCAGCCCGGGGCTGCTTGACGGTGGGCACAATGACACATTCGAATCGTTCAAAGCGAACAACCTCATCGTCGAGCACACGTATTCCTCGGCGCGGGTCATTTCCGAAACACGCAAACACGGCAAAATGTTTTCATGTACCGGGACCAAAGCGTTTTTCGAGAGACTGTACGTTGGGTTCGCCCGCGAAAACATGAAAAACCCTTTTTGGACGCGGAGGAGGGCCGCACGCTTCACGAGCCTCTTTGTCCCTCAACCTCTACCGACGTTACTCCTCCGACATGTCTCTGTTATCCATTGAGCGCGTTGTGCGTACGAGTGACGAACGATGATAGGTCGGACAATCATTTTGTGATTATAGCTTGAGCGGAGAGAATGGTTGATGTCTCATTCCTCCGGGGGTTCAAACTGTATGAGTGGTGCCGTTGGACACCGATTCCGTCAACAAGGCCCACCTCGATGAAGGAAAGGAAATACAAGGGCTGAGGCATCGTCGCGGCCCGAAAAGAAACAACTTCGCGTACAGATTTGCCGATCAGAAAGAATCCGCGGTCTCTATCGAAAAAGGAAGATGGTTCTTTGTAAAGAACTTCCACGTCGTGCTACGATGTGTTTGTTGTGTGGAGATGATTGATGATGGCGCCGTTGTGTCGTCAATTCAGTAATATACGAATGCTGCTGTGTTGTACCAGCAGGCGCAATGTTGCCAGAGCAACGTCAAGATTCTTGAAGTGGTCTGGTGTGAGGAAGGGCGTGGAGATATACAGGAGGGACATACACTCGGACCCGCGGCACTCAATGAGGAATGGTTGATTGACACTCTCCCCCCAGCTGTTTCTGAGCTGTCGGTTTGTGCGGCTGTGTGCTTCGTTAACGACGGTATATTTTTTCGGTTGCAAAATTATATTCACAGACCAGCGTGAAGTGCTGGTCCCACCTGCCGTAGACGTGTGACATACACCAGTTGCAGCTCCCCGCAACGTGGATTGGCGTTCTAAATTCGGTACCTCAAAAGTGGCGTGGTTGCCACAATTCCTACAAGGTAGTAGACAAGACGCCAAACAGGCGCCAAGTAGAATGGAGACCGCTGATATGCGGACGCCCAGTCCCCGTCACCGTTTTCGTGTGTCACTTGACGGGTGTATTTGTGGTGGCCAGTGGCTGCCTCCGAGGTCTCTTCAGGCTCGCTCGAGACAAATTTTGGCGGTATTTCTTACACTTTGCTAAACATGA